AGTCATGTGTGTTTCTGATGAGTCATGTGTGTTTCTGATGAGTCATGCGTGTTTCTGATGAGTCATGCGTGTTTCTGATGATTCAGGCATGTTTCTGATGAGTCAGGTTTGTTTCTGATTAGTCAGGTTTGTTTCTGATTAGTCATGCGTGTTTCAGATGATTCAGGCATGTTTCTGATGAGTCAAGATTGTTTCGAATGAGTCAAGCTTGTTTCTGACGAGTCATGTGTGTTTCTGATGAGTCAGGTTTGTTTCTGATTAGTCATGCCTGTTGCAGATGAGTCATGTGTGTTTCTGATGAGAGGTTTTTCTGATCAGGTGTTTCTGATGAGTCAGGTTTGTTTCTGATGAGTCATTTCATTTCTGATGAGTCATTTCATTTCTCATGAGTCAGGTTTGTTTCTGATGAGTTGATCATATCAGTCATCCTCTGTCTTTTACACCTGTTAACGTTTGGAGTCACTTCGGTTCAATGTGACCTCTACAACATGAATGTCTCTAGCTCGCTCAGTTTTACAGATGTTGAGGTAAATCCAGGGGTGGTAGTAGCTGAGAGTCATCCCCAACACAGACTCTGAGCTCTGACAGATCACATGACGTCACACGTCATCGTGTGTCTGAGGTTGATGCTGAGAATGATCCTATATGTAAACGCAGGACTGAATGGTGGCAGGAGATACTCCTCGCCCGTCACTTCAGATTCTGTTCATGTCACGTCACACATCAGGACCAAGGCTGGGTCTGACACCCAGACTGGACCTTTATTCTGATAGGTTAAGGTTCTTCCTGTACAAGACCTCCCCCTGCTGGACTCAAACCTCATCAGTACTTTTCTTGGATCAGGACTGTCCAGTCTTGGTCCTGGGGGCCCTCTGTCCTGCAGGTTCTGGATGTTCCTCTGCTGCACCTCACCTGATGTGTTGAACAGGGGACAGGTTCTGAAGAAGATGTGATTCATCCTCTGAGTCAGGCGCTGGAGCAGAGAAACAGGTCCAACCTGCAGGATGGTGGCCCTCCAGGACCAGGACTGGACTTGTGTTTCTTTGGGCCAACACAGATTATGACTCAGATTAATAATCCTGACCCCGGGGCCATGTGCGTGTTTGGAGTGATGTTTGTGTCCGTGTGCTCAGAGGGAACTACGAAGGAGTGCGGCCCTACGTGGAAGGGGACTGGTGCTCCAGGTGTCCTGAAAACCTCCAGAAGTGTGAAAACAACCTCTGTGGTACGAGACGTTCTGTCCTCCACGGACCAGTAGGACTCGGGTTTCTAACCGGTCAAAAACTGAGTCCAGGTCTGTTTTTGTTTTCAGCTCCGGACTTGGTGGACGAGGACGTCGGTGGGGACGATCATGGAACGGAGACAGATTTTGTCCCCACCTTCCCTGAAGAACTGGGTGATACAGAAACTACTCACCCCCCCACTGAGCCCGACACCACCCTGGTCCAAACAGAACCCACTGAGGAGGAGCACACCCCCACACCAGGAGCCACCGCAGCCCGGGTCCAACCTCAGGACGTCTTATCATCAGCACCAGCACCAGAACCAGAGGAGGAGGAGGAGGAGGGGGAGGAGGAGGAGCAGAGGGAGGAGGAGGAGCAGAGGGAGGAGAGCGTCATCAGGAAGGAGGAAGTGCGGGAGAACTTAGAGATCTCTGCACCTGTTGATTCTGGTTCTGGTTCCGGTCCATCAGTCCTGTTTCTGTGTCTGACCGCAGTCCTGACTCTCGGGATGTGATGAAGCAGGACAACTGAGCTCACCTGTCCAGAACCAAACCGGGTTCTGTAACGGTTCCAGAAACCAGCAGCTGTTTGACAACATCTGGGTCAAATAAATCTGTTTGGACCTGATACAACCAGAACCTAACAGCCGGTAAAACCACTAAACCCCCGTCAGACCCTCTGATGGGTTTTAGACTTTAACTGGAGCAGAACTGACCCGGTTCTGATCTTCTTTAAATGGTTCTATTTAATTTATAATGTTTCTGCTGTTCACATGTTAAACTGCTCCCGTCCCGCCAGCCTGACCTCATTGCACTGGTTCTGGTTCTGGTTCTGGTTCTCTGAGGCTGCTCTCGTTGTGTCTTTACGGCCGTGGTCCAGGTAGGACCTGTTTTTACAGAAACCGAACCTTGAAGTCGTTTCTAGACATGTCCTTCTAAAGGTTCCATCTGAAGGTTCTGTCTGAAGGTTCCGTCTGAAGGTTCCGTCTGAAGGTTCTGTCTGAAGGTTCCGTCTGAAGGTTCCATCTGCAGGTTCCATCTGGAGTTCCACGGTTTGGACACCAGAGGGCAGCAGAGGATTATGAATCATCTCGTGGACACAGGTCTTCACTCAGATTCATCCGGTAAAAACGGAAGAGACTGTTGTGTGAAAAATGACGAGCCTGCTAACTGGAAGTGTTAATGAGCCTCATGTGTTTCTGTCAGCAGGAAATCTGGAGATTATTTTTAATAACTTTGGTCAAAATGATGTAAAGTCTGTAGATCTGAAAAATAAAGTCATGGAGTCCTGACAAAAACAAAGTCCTTGTTCAGTTCTTGGCCTCTAGGTGACAAAACAAAACTGCAGGTCCACCACAATCAGCCAGAGTCCAGTTCTGGACTGGACTTGAACTGGACTGTTGGTTCTGCTCTTTCTGACCCGTTCTGTTGTAGATCAGCTGTTATGTTTGGGGTCATGTTTCTGTTGGACCTGTTGGGTCCAAGTTTCAGCTGTTGGACTCCAGAACCCTTTGGTCTCCAGAGGAGTTCTGGTCCACTCAGTGACTGAAGGAGCAGAACCATCAGCCTCCACCACCGTGCTGACAGCTGAGCTGTTTGCTGCAGTGCATTCTGGGTAAATATCTGTCCTCTGGTCTGGTTCTTGTCCAGAAGTCTTGTTTTTCCTTAAGATGGAAGTTGTGCCTTGACCTTTGACCTGCTGACTGAAGCCTGTAGAGTCACTGCACGGTCTGACCTTCAGGGTGAATCAGCTGTCTGAAAGGTTTTCCATCTGGATCTTGGTGGTCCTGGTGTAGACGTTCTGGACTGGATGGATTCAGAAAACATTCGTCAGAACCAACGTGTTTACAAACAGAAGGAGGTCAAAGGTCAGAGGTCAAAACATTCCTCTGGACATGTTCAGGAACAAGAACTGAACCTGAGAGAAGGATCAGCCGAGGACCTTCAGAGGGTCTAAAACTGTTGATCTGGACCTCTTCAACAGACTCCATGAAGTCTGGAGAAAGGTTTTTATTCTCTTCTTCTCTGGTGAATCACGTTTCACTGGAAACGGATCAGTAGGTGACGCCCTGGCAGCAGGACCCAGATTAGGCTCCGGGAGGTTCTGGATCAGGTTTTTCCTTCATGACAGGCTGCAGTGTGCGATCCTGAGCACCAGAGGAACATGAAACCAGCTGAGATGCTGATGCAGACCAGGAGGAGGAGCTGCAGCAACACGACACAGAAAAACCCTGAATGGATTCAGACGTCTCTGCTCTCAGCCAATCAGAGCGCCCGCCTCCCCTCCTCCTGCATCCGGACTCTGTGATTGGCCGGCCGAGGCAGAGATGCAGAGACGCAGCAAAATAAAGAAGAAGAAGAAGAAACAGCTGGATGAAGACGTACGTCCTGCTTCCTGAGGATGGGGGCTTGATTTAGGATAATGGACTGCTGCAGCTTTGCCCCACGGCATCATGGGAGCTGGAGTCCCCCAGGAGGAGAACTGATCGTGGGTCAGCAGAGTTAGGGGCTGTGTGGGTGGACTGGATCTCAGTAAACTGTCTCTCCGTCTTATTTGTTCTTCTTCACTGTGGCTCCTTCCTCTCACCTCCTCCTTCACCTCCTCCGTCTCCCCCCGACTCCCACCTGTTCCAGGAGACGCCAGGATGGGCTGTCGTCTCACACGGACGAAGGTGAGTGAGCATCAGCAGGTCATGGATGGATGGATGGATGGATGGATGGATGGATGAAGGTGCTTGCTGTGTGCTGACACAGCAGCTGACAGGAGAGGAAGAGGAGGCAGAAGAAGCAGCAGCTCGGCTCGATGAAGGCTGCAGAAAGAAACAAACTCCACTTTATTCTGATTAAAAAATGTTTTTAATAAATATATATATTTTACTTTACATCCTCTGAGGGCAGATTTGTTTTGAAGGCTTGTGTTTGTCGTGTGTTCGGATCATTTCCGTGAGTTTCGACTCAGAAATGAGAGAAATGAAGCCTGTGAGTTTGTCAGGCGTGACCTTTGACCTTTGGGTTGCTCTGCCGGTAAACAAAGAGAACGCAGAACGTTTGCGAACAACAGAAAAACACAAACGGATCAGACGTTCACTGATGTTTGAACAAGAACGCCTCATAAAGCAAGAAAATAAATTCTGTACATTTGATTTTAAATTAGAAATAAAAAAAATTCTGCTAAAACTTAGTGTGAAGCTGAACAACAGCTGAAGTTAGCTGAAGAAAACTGAGCTAATAAAACTAAAAACAACAGAACACGACCTAAAAAGAGCCAAACAACATCTACAACTAAACACAAAAGTCTAGCTGAGGTAAAACTTTATTGATCACAGGTGCTCATCACACAGACTCATGTTCGTGCTGCTGTTCACAGTACTGTCTCTGTATTAGTACTTAGTGTATTTTAGTTGTTTCTCTTAGTGCATATCTTTGATCTTATCACTGGTTTTATTTTACATTTTATTGTTGGATGTAACTGGGACCCTGTGGACATAATTTCATTCCACCAAATGTATCACATGTGATGGAATGACAAATAAAAAACCTTGAATCCTTGAAATTGTTGTGCCAGAGTTTCAGTACAAAGGAAAATACACAAGGAATCACACAAGATATAAAAATAACAGAAAATATAAAAATAACAGAAAATATAAAAATAACAGAAAATATAAAAATAAGAGAAAATATAAAAATAAGAGAAAATATAAAAATAACAGAAAATATAAAAATAACAGAAAATATAAAAATAACAGAAAATATAAAAATAACAGAAAATATAAAAATAACAGAAAATATAAAAATAACAGAAAATATAAAAATAACAGAAAATATAAAAATAACAGAAAATATAAAAATAACAGAAAATATAAAAATAAGCGAAAATATAAAAATAACAGAAAATATAAAAATAACAGAAAATATAAAAATAAGCGAAAATATAAAAATAACAGAAAATATAAAAATAAGCGAAAATATAAAAATAACAGAAAATATAAAAAACATCATGAAGTTCTAAACAGGTTCAGACAGAAACATGAAGGAGTTTATTTTGGTGCAGGATTAATGTTATTGTGCAGAAAGGGGGAGGAGTTAAAAGTTTGAAGGACTTCCTGTTGCTCTGTGAGCTCCTCGTGGTCTCAGTCCACGACTGAAGGTGCTGCAGGAAGAGTCCGGGGTGTCATGCAGGGGGGGTGACGTGTTGTTCAGGATCTGGAGCAGGTTCCTCATCATCCTCTGCTCAGAGACTGCAGGTCCACTCCCAGAACTGAACCAGCTCTTCATGAGTTTACAGAGTCTGTTGGCTTCAGCTTTCCTCACCCTGCTGCTCCAGAACACCACAGAGTAGAAGAAGATGCTGGAGACCACCGAGTGGTAAAACATCTGCAGCATGGTCCTGCAGATGTTGCAGGACCTGAGTCTCCTCAGAAGAAAAAGGCGACTCTGTCCTTTCATGTAGAGGTGCTGGTGTCAGCTGTCCAGTCCAGTTCCCTCTGGTTCTTCTGACCTGATGATCACAGAAACACTTTAGACAAAAATGTTGTTTAATTCAAAATCAATCTGGAGGAGAACTCAGGAAAACCACAGAGGTCCTCCAGACTCCACAAAGGTTCAGTGGATGAAGAAGAAGCTGGAGCTGTGGAGGACTGAATCTCTGGTTCCTGGTCCTCAGCTCAGGTCTGGTTCCTGGTCCTCGGCTCAGGTCTGGTTCCTGGTCCTCAGCTCAGGTCTGGTTCCTGGTCC